AATTTCCTTCTGATTTTTTTTTAAATAAAAGGTCTATATCGCAGTAATTAATCAAAAAATTTTCACGTGGTTTGGTGCCGTCATTCTCGAGTAATCTCGAAATTTGTAAATCCGGATTCTAATGTCCCACACTGTATATATTAAATATCATAATTCTTGACATACTTGATTTTCAATGATCCCTCGTAATTACTATATTACAGTAGTCATGTTACAAATTTAATTATGTGATAAATTGTCCGACTTTTGAGAACGCTCCGACTTCTTTGCAGGAGTTCGTAATTTATTTAGTTCTACTGTTGTTTGGGAAGACTCTCCGGCATCAATTATTTTATCTTTGAAGGTTTTAGACTTTTTAGCAAGAACACTTATCATCTGTCCTACACGTTCCACAAGATTCTGTTAAACTTTATTATTAGTAAAAGCTTGATAACTCAAAAAGCAAAACTAATCAAAAAAGACCAACCTACCCCGTGAACTAAAAATCGTTTACATAATAGAACAAGCTCTCCCACATCTGCATCTTTCGTTGGTAAGAACTCTGAAGCCCAATCCCAAAAACCGTACAGATGTCCATTAATTTGAAAAAGAATATAGAAACGAATTCTAAATCCGATTATTTGAAAGAACGGTACAAATATCGAAGCAATCCCTTTTTGTAGGCTATCTGGTAGAGGATTTTTGCCATTCTGCTCAATTATTTGGTTTTCAAGTTCGATATGTTGCGCTCTGGAAACCTTGATCACGTCAACAAGATTGGTTTTGGCCTTATCGTGATTGTCCTTGTGGGTTGGCCCGGTATTCTCGCCAATACCGGCCTCTCGAGACGAGCTCTACGCATAAAATCTTACGTTAGGATTAACATAACTTTTCATAACCAAATAGATACAACTTACCCAATACAAGAAATCGCATGCCTTGCCAACACGTTGGGTTCCAGAACGCTCTATTTCGTCATCACGGTCTGCATCAGAATGGTTTTCACCACTATAAAGGAGAAAAAATGATGCTTAATATAACAGACAAATCAGTCAAGAATGAACCAAATTTCTTACTAAGTGAATATAGTATGTGGGGTTTTGGCACATGGTCCAATTAGGAACATGTCAACGGTTCGTTCAGATTGGGATTGCCCGGGAAAACAGTTGATCCACGTATAACTATTGTAATACCATTGTTTAAAACTATGAATAAATGTAAATGACCAAATCATGGACCAAATCATGCATACAGATGGAAACTTACGTATCCTCAATGCATTTCCCCACATATATCGTAGCTTCATCGTCAACATCAATATTTTTAATATGATCATTAATTACGTTCCTATCCGAAACATCCTATTATAAAAGTGGTCCGTTATAGAATTTTATTAACATAAAGACACCAAATCAGAATGTTATGTAAATAATTTGGATTCACCTGCATTCTGTCCGCAGATTTCTGTAGGAGATCACATACACCTGCCACTCCTCGCGCACCGCATTCCTTTGCAAGAAGTCGAAGACTAACAATATCTGATAGTAATAACGCCTCCAAGAAGGATTCTACCGATTTACTAATATGTTTTTTCTCTTCTTGAATAGCGCTTTTTATCATGCCCATCAATCGATCGATCTCATCAGTCGAGAGGAAGTTCTTAGCGCGAGGGAGGTCTGGACTCGGAGATATATTCTCCTCACGGAAATCTAGAACTCCCCACCAGAGTGGGCTACAACAAAAAGTGGGAACATTAGTACACAACGAATAGAGGCGAATAGACAAAAATAACTTACTCAGTGTGGGCAGATTCATTGACTTCTTGTAAAGATTCGACGGCGTGAACGACAGTAGTGTATTCTTCGAATGACACACCAAACGTAGAATCTGTTTTGGACTGTATATTAAAATGATTTAACAAAGGCATAATATCAGTATGAAATAATGAGACAAATGGCACATAAATTAGTCCTAGTCTGACCTTCTTGGGATCCGCTGTGTGTGATTCACGGTCTTGCATGTGATCCTGGATGTTGGGAAAAAAAGAAAAATTTACTATATAAAAAACATAAATAAAACAAATTTTTTAATGCTTACATAATTTCGCTTTCCGGTATGTCCCTTTACAAATGACTTTAACTTATCGGCTAAAAACGTTCTTGCTTCTTTCGAATCTTTGACGGCGTCATCGATTACGTCATTAATGTATCCTAGCTATATTACAAACAAGTAAGTTTTCTATGTATATGAACAACAGCAAAATGCAACTTACAAACCGATTCTTTTTCAATATTGTCTTCATATCGTTTTTTTTCGATCATTGTCCAGAAATCAAGGACACCCCCGGAAGACTTCTCGTTCTTTTGTTAAAAAGAAAACAGACATTATTGTAAGATCAGGTAACATTTTTTGAGACTACCATATAATCTATATAATCAACAAAACAAAGATTAAGATGAGTGAGCCATAGCTTGGTGTAACAACCAGTTGGTACGTAGGCATCCGGTTGCGCTATGGTAGTAACATATGTCTATTCAAGAACGCCCGAGGGGATTCGACCTCCACTCTCACCAGCCAGTGCGTAGTAGCTAGCTACTCGGGGTTTGTCAATACGTCACGTAAAATGTCTCGGGACCGGAACGTATTCTAGCCCTTGAACCCAATCATCTCACAGTGGCAACAAACATATACTTAGCTTCAAAGTTGGAAAGATATTCTCGAGCTTGAGCGTTATCCAATAATTCCAAAGCTTTTTTATATAAACCATGCTCCTTTCTCTTATCACGCGTAAAATAGTCGGTCTTTGCTCTAAAATTCAAAAACTCAAGCAATGACCAGAATTTATTTGTTTTAAAGAAATTTTCTACTGTTTCTTGGGCTTGTAATATTAATAATGATTCGTCTGACGATTCTTCTCCAGGCATGGTTTGCATCGTTAATAAGGCAACAGCACAAAATAGAGGTATATAACTATATATAGGGGAACGCTAAAGCAGGGTAGTGGATTATGTCAATTCGAATTATGTAAATCCAGATCATGTCAATCTGAATTTACCTAATGATTAAAGTTATACAACTGTACACAATATATTTCATCATTATTGCAAGATAATTTTTTTTGTTTTTGTTTTTTTGAATATTTGGAAGTGATTGGTTGGTGAGGGAATAAAAACAATAAGGATAAGATAGGGAATAAAATGTTGGTTAAGAAATAATTATATTGATAATATAAGTTTAAAAATATATTTATTTAAATATATTCATGTAAGTAATATAAAAAAATAAAATCTTATATTTCAAGCTGTATTTAAACTGCAATATTATAAAAACAACTTACATATGCATATATATATATATACACATATACATACAGTCAACTCTCTATATATATATACCTCTTAGGAATGAGCTAAAATATGCATATATGAAGAATATGCATATATGAAGAGTTAATATTTTATTAATTGCACATGATATATATAGTTTTATTCAAAGAATCTTGTTTCATTTATTACAAGTATGATTTTGAAAGAGAAAGAAAAAGTTTAATTTATTTATAAAATAATAATAATAATAAAGATAAATTAAAAATATCCGTTTAATTTTCTCTACTATTATTAACTAAAAAATTATCTATGATTATTTGTTTCTTTGCATTTATCAACTTTAAATCAATATAATAATCAAGAGCATTAATATGTTTAAACAACTCCTTAGAATCTTCTTGCTATTGTAAAAAGAAATAAACTAATTCTAAACTCTTTATAACTTCATTGATATTAACTATTAGTAGTTTAGTACTATTATCAATTTCAGTATCATCAATATGAATATCTGATGGTTTTTTATATATATCAATAAGTTCTTTAATAAACTTGTTATCATTAGATACTTCATAAATTATTTTTTCTTCTGAATTATTCAAAAATTTATCAATTGACATGCTATTAGATAAATTCAGATTCATAACTGCTTGTGTAAGCTCTTCATACATTGGTTCATTATTACAAGAAAGCTCACTTAAATCAGTATTAATACTAGTTGAAAGAATATTAATATGCTTTTAACAGTTACTGATTGTTACTAGTATAATTTTGTTCCAGCTTTTAATAATATAATTTATAGTTTGTAATACATCTATTTTCAATTCTTTATGTTATTTCCTTTTTGAACTTTACTCAAAATTCAGCTAATATGCAAATAGCAATAGTATCTTTTGAAAGAATTAATTATTCCTACATCCATTAGTTAAATTTTGACAGTTGTATTTAGAGGAAGAAAATATATCTTGATATTTAAAAGATCTATACCAGTTATTTTATGGTATAGGCAATTATCTAAAAGTAATAATACCCATTGATCTTTATATCATTTAATTATTTTCTTATTAAATTTTTGAAGCTATTCTTGAAATATTATCACCAACATCTAAGTCTTCTTATTATTACAATATGTTATTGATAAATTACTAATATTAATATTAGTAAAATATTATGATTTTGTAAATTTATTAATTACCAATAGATTTAGTTTATGAGAACTGTTAGCATTTACATATAGAGCTATTATAAGTCTTTTCTTATCTTTTTTATATTTCGCAAGTCTGTGTGTAACTAATATTTGATCTAGTTCTAATCTATAAAAGAGACTAGTTTTATCCATATTATATATTTATTCAGAAGAATATATCTTATAAATACTTTTTAATGATGGCAAGATATTAATAATAGTATTATTATTTACTAATAATGCTTCTCTGTAAAGCTTTTACAAATGAAGTTCATTATGATCTTTAAATTTTTGGAGTCAACTAGCAGAAAATTTCAATATTCCATCTGAAACTTCTAAGTTATCAGCTAGTTTCTTGACTTTTTCAGTTAAAAGCATGTTACTTAAAATAACTTTATCTTGATAATATAAAATAAACTCTCTTAGAGTAAGCTCAAGCTTAGGAACCAGTATGGTTTTATGTTATTTTATATTTAGTTGAGTAATTTTAACACTAAGTATCTCATCACTCTTTTTCAAGATTCTTAATATAGTTGATTCATCTACTTGAATTTTCCATTTTTTTTTTATCCAATTAACATATTCTTTTCTGATTAGTTTATTTTGACAAGTATATAAATAAAGCTCATATTTTTGAGAATCAGATAAATTATTCCTATTTTTTAGTATTTTATTTGAATGTTAATAATAAAAACAAGTATTTATATGAATATAAGTAGTTATAAAAGATATTTATATTATTGAAACTAAGTAATGAATATTAAAATAAAGTTATTTTTATTTCTCTTATATATAGTAGCTCATGAAAGAAATGAAATACAGGAAAAAAATTGGTAAGATACAAATATTTCACTATTAAAGAATTATACAGAGTCAAAGATAGATACATTTTATTTATTAAAATACTGCTCATTAATCAATGCAAATTTTATTTTCATCTATTATTTCTATTTTACACAATAATTTTTTTATTTTTTTTTAGTGTTCCACATAATACAATCTAATTAGAAAAAGAAATTTGTAGGTAGTTTGCTAATTAAGTAAGTCAATAGTTTTTAATTTCTTTGATATTATAAATCTGATAAATCTAGTTTATCATTTTGTAAAACCACTCTCTTACCACTATAATATCATATATTCTTTTTGATATTGAGTTAATTAACTTTATATAAAAATTGATATCAATACTTTTTTACGTGACTTGTAACTTTTCTCACAAGTCTTCTTTTAATGAAAATGAATCAGAAAGATATCTCAAATATCTATTAACTTTATTTTATAAGTATTTGATAGGATTCAAGTTAGAGAATTATGATGATCAGTTAAGTAAGTTAATCTCATTATTGACAAATCATTACTTTACTTTTTTGAAAATATGTTTAAGATTATTATCTTGCTGGAAGATAAAATTTGTATCCTTTAGCATCATCTTTCAGATTGTATCTAATAAGTTAATATTTAAAATATTAACATAAATATTAGCTGTTATTTTTCTATCAATTTTTTTGAGTTTACTAACTTTATTAATAATAAAACAATTCAAACTATAATTAAACTATCACCAAATCTTTATTATTAGTGTGATATGATAATCTTTTAAAGATTTATCAGGCTTCTTCCAGTAATATTTCCTTCAGTCTGATCCAAATAGTTAGAACTTGCTTTTGTCAGATCAAATTATTCACTTCTAATTATTAAATATTCAATTTCTGTATTTCTTTATCCAATTTAATTTTTTTTTCAATAAGTTTTACTAAGTAAAGACTTTTTTCATTTTATTCTTGCAGATAAGTCATTTTTTGAAGTATTCTCCATATGCTCTCTGCAGATAAATTAATATTCAGTTTTTTTTAGTGTTTTGCATAATATAACCAAATTAAAAGAAAAAATTCAGGCTCATAAAAATAAGTATAAAAGTATT